ATTTCCTTTATCCATTCATCAATCCATGGACACTTGGGCTGCTTCCATAATTTGGCTCTTATAAATAATACTCCTATAAACATAGGGGTGTATTTATCCCTTTGAATTAGTGTTTTGTATTTTGGGGGTAACTACCCAGGAGTGTGATTACTGGATTGTAGGATAGTTCTATTTTTAACTTTTTGAGGAACCTCCATACTCTTTTCCAGTTAACTTCACCAGTTTGCATTCCTATCAAAACAGTGCATGAGGGTTCCTTTTCCTCCACATCCTCACCAACACTTTTTCTTTCTTGTATTTTTTACTTTTCCTATTATGGCCAGTATCAAGTGATAACTCATTATAGTTTTAATGTGCATTTCCTTAATGATAAATGATATTGAGCAATTTTCATCTGTAGGTCTTCTTTGGAGAAATGTCTTTTCCTGTCTTCTGCCCACTTTTTTAAAGTTTATTTGTTTTGAAAGAGAGAGAGAGAGAGAGAGAGAGAGAGAGAGAGAGTCAGGAAGGGGCAGAGAGTGAGGGAGAGAGAGAATCCCAAGCAGTCTCTGTGGTATCAGCACAGAGCCCAACTCGGGGCTAGATCTCACAAACCATGAGATCATGACCTGAGCTGAAATCCAGTCAGAAGCTTAACTGAATGGACCACCCAGGCACCCCAGCTTCTGCCCATTTTTAACTGGATTATTATTTTGGGGGGTGGCTGTACTACATTCTATGCGCACTAACTGCACCTTTTATGAAACCTAGTTTTATCTAAAATGTAGGCTCTTGTCAAGATATCCAGTAGTAATTACTATTCATTAAATGATGGAAGTTGTTGTAATTATGATGATTAATAACCTTTCAAAATCATCTTCTTTTATTTCCTTCAGTAACCTTACGAATTTTGTAGAAGGACCACAATCCCTCATATAATAATAATGGCTAACATTTGTGACAAATTATGCCAGGCATTATAAGATTTTATACTAGCTGATTTAGTTATAACAACATTCCAATAAGACCTGTAGAAGACTGTATTCTCCAAAAGTGGCCCAAGCCATATCTCCCATCCCACATGCATTTCCTTCAACATGACTTTGAAGTCTTTCCATTGAAAGATGGGGTCTACAAGAACTCTACTTAAATTTGGACAGTCTTATGGAAATGATGCCATGTGATTTTTGAAGTTAGGTCACAATAGACAATACAGTTTCTGCTTGGTATCCCTGGGGCTCCCACTTTCAGAACCTATCCAAGCGATTCCTTGGCAAGACCCACATGGATAGAAACCAACAGCCAACACAAGCTCATCAGACATTTGAGTGAACATTCTTGGAAGTGGATCTTCTCACCTCAGTCAAGCCATCCTAACTTGAAGCTATGGAAACAAAGAAAAAGCAGTCTCCTCCAAGTTTTGGCCAAATGACTGATTCATGAAAAAAATAAATTATTATTATTGTTTTAAATCACAGAGGTTTGGGGCACTCTATTTTAAAACAACAGGTAACTTATTCAGTACTATTACATCCAGATTAGAAATTAGAACACTGACACAGAGAGAGGTTAATTAATTACTAGATCGCAGAACCAGTATCTAGTGAAATACCTAGCAAAATAGATTTTCTGTTTCCAGAGTTGTGGAACTTTTTACATCTCCTTTCCCGCCTCCTACCTTTACTGCACCTTCAATTTTTATGTTGCTGTTGTATTCTTTATGTTTTCATTTTTTGCATGAATGATAAAAAGACTTCATTCTTCTAGGTTTCTTCGTGAAAGCTGAGCAAAGCAGAAATGGGTCGGAGAAGGGCTAGCCATGGCACCATTAAAACGTGAAAGCCAAGCCCACCTACTTACTCTGTGGAAACTTTGGTGGGTTGTCATTGACATCAGTCAGTGTGATCGTCACTTTGGTTGTCCCTGAGAGTCCACCCATGTGTCCACCCATGTCCTTGGCCTGGATCACCACGTGGTACTCCTCCTTCGCTTCCCTGTCCATGTTGGGGAGGGCTGTTCTGATGATACCTGGATCCGTGAGTGGGAAACACCACACGTATTCATTGGTAACAACATTAAAACATAAAAAGTTCTAGGCCCAGGGGAAGCAGAGAGGAATAAAAAAGCTCCTGCCCTCGCAGAAGAGTCACTTTGACATGATAATTAGAATGACAAGTAGCCATACCTGGAGCACCATATAGTGGTCTTTCTCAGCAAATTGTCATAATTATTCGTATAGCATCATAATCATATATGCTTTATATGTTGCATTGTAAACACAAGTAATAAGCTCATTATTCTCAGGCATAACATATCAAGATCCTAAAGGCTGAAATATTTGAGGGCCCATTGCATGGATACCCATGACTAAACCCCCACTTTTGAATTACCAGTGGAATCTTTTGAAAGTCTATCCCAGCATTCAACTCTTGGAAATGTTTTTATGATCTATATTAGGTTAAATGTAGGTGGCATATATTCCAAGCAATACATTAAAATGTAATTATTAAATTTTAAAGGAGTAAGCCAAACAAGTTAAAAACACACACAATGCATACACAAACATTGTTGTACTATCACCCGTCACTGACCACAGGGGTAAATTAATGATTGAATTCTACATGATCCCTGGAGATTAGCACATAATTTGTATGAAAACCATGCTCGCTTAAATCTCTTGGGAACATGTGCAAGCTTTTCCTTTCTGTAGATATAGTAACATTTATACTGGAAATATAAAGAAAGCACCCTTGTCCCTCTCAGTCTGTATTTCCCAACAGCACCCTTGAACTCACTGAGTCTTGTTTTCCTTATCTGTTAAATACTTTGGTATGTTCAAAGTGGTGGTTCCTAACCATGAGTCCTTGAGAAGAAATAAGATTGTAATTGGAGTTCCTCCATCAGGTTTTAACATCTCAAAAATCTAGATGAAATCCCACATTTATCCTTGGTTAATGTGGAAAGGCAAATGCCTTCTATGAAATCATAGCCACACAGCCCCATAGACTGTGTTCTGAAGCAAAGTGGCTACAAATAGATAATTACGTAGGTCAGTGGAAGTGATATCTAGTAAATGGGCAACTTATCTGATTGGCAGACCCTGTGTACACATATTAATATATATCTGTATTTCATACAATTTAGCTATAATAACAGATGTGGATTATTTGCAAATGTCTTTCAAATATACAGGAAAAGGCAGCAGTTTGGAGGGTGATATTATAGAATGGAACTTTCACAGTATTTCAGTGTTTATTCTAATGGAAGGACCCTAGAATAAAGTTTGGTGTAAATGAAGTGGACCATTGTGGTTTTGGTGGCTACATGTTTTCACTTTTTGGGTTTGCTGTTTGTTTTCTGTAAGAACTGTGAAGTCTTTTTGGGTGACACCAATTGGGAATCTGTAAGTGCAGTGGAGGGAATGTGCCACGTCCCAAACACACCTGAGCATTATTTTTTTTAACATTTATTTATTTTTTGAGAGACAGAGAGAGAGTGTGAGCAGGGGTGGGGCAGAGAGGGAGGGAGACACACAATCCAAAGCAGGCTCCATCCAGGCTCCGAGCTGTTGGCACAGAGCTTGACGTGGGGCTCGAACTCAGGAGCTGTGAGATCATGACCTGAGCCAAAGTCAGACGCTTAACTGACTGAGCCACCCATATGCCCCTTAAAATCATATATTAAAATTCAACTTAAATTACATGTTCAACTTAAATGCATGTTTCTCAAGAATTTATCTTGATGGCCTGCCTGGGTGTCTCAGTTGGTTAACCATCTGGCTTCAGCTCAGGTCATGATCTTACAGTTTGTGGGTTCAGGCCCCGCATAGGGCTCTGTGCTGACAGCTCAGAGCCTGGAGCCTGCTTTTGATTCTGTGTCTCCCTCTCTCTCTCTGCCCCCACCCCCCCGCTCACGCTCTTTCTTTCTCTCAAAAATAAACATTAACAACAAAAAAAATGTAAGATATGATTTTAAGATAAAAGTTGTATTTTAAGATTATATTTATTATTGTGACATGGTGACATAGAGGCAGAAACAATAATAAATAAGGTTCATTGGATGCTAACCATATCCAGGCACATGCAGGCACAGTGTCTAATCCTCTCAACAATCCTATAAGGTGGCCTTTCCTGTATTTGGGAAAACTAAGACTCAAATAGGTTTACTGAGCAGGCCTGGACTTCTTATTCACAATGTGTCACAGATCCCAACAACACTGCACAGTACCTGTCTGTGCTTCTACTGAAAAGTAGGGTTGTCCTTCTAGGATGCTGTATACTAACTTCGCGCTGTTTCCATAGGTGGGATCATCTGCATCTGAAGCTGTCACCTGGATTACCGATGTCCCTTAAAAATGAAATAAATCCATTAGCAACACCCCTTCAGCTTTTTGAATTATATTCCAGTTTACAAAGTTCCATCTTAACTTTAAAAACGGAGAAAAGCCCCATAATTGTTTAACATGCTCTCAGTTTTCAGGGGTTCAGATGTAAAGTAATCTTCCTTCCTCTCTTCCTCTTCTTCCTTCCCTCTTTCCTTCCTTAAAAAAAATTCCCATAGCTTAAAAATGAACTTTCTATATTCATAGTACATCGTGCTCTGCTTAGTAGTTAAAATAACAATATGAACATTAATGCAAAAACATTCTAAGACCCATGCAACTGAAATGTTCAGTAGATCAAATAATTAAATAACAATCTTCCCAAAGAGTAAAATAAAAGATAATTAGTGATGAATTGCTTTTTGTGTAAGGACAGAGTATGTAGCCTTCCATCTGTAGCAGCGCAATAAATACATCATTTTATTGTTGCTTTGCATGTAATAAAATAGCTTCTAATACTGCATTTTAATGAATTTATGGCTATAAATATTGTACAGAATGTTGTTCCCTGATGACATGAGAATTGCATCTTCCCACCTCTAACGGGTCTGGTAGTTATTTAATAGAAACCACCCTTAAGACATCTGTGGGTCTGAAGGAAAGGAAACCAGGGAAATGAAGGAAGACGGGATTCCGTTTCTCCCAGAAAAGCCTCTGTTCTTTGGTGGTCACCAGGATTTCAGGGCACAAAGCACTGAACTAAAGAATGGGGGGAGATGCCTGGGAAGGGAAACGGCAATTAGAGCCTCCCTGCACCAGGTACTTTCGGGGCACGTTCCTTGTGTTCCACCAGCATCCATCCCCTCTGCTCCTCATTTTGACAGCAATTGTATTTTGAGAAACTGGGTGTGAGAGGTAGGAATTTTACAATCCTATTTTGCAAAGTCGATTATTGCCAGAGTCATTAGCCTAACCCCCATCGAGCAACCAACAAAACCCAGGGTCTTTCCTTGACATTTCCAGCAGAGGGGCAAGGTCCTGGGTGGGAGGTGAAGGAGCCCGTTGACACAGCTTCTGACGACCCTTTAATTTACAACTGTCAGTGATTTTTACATGGTATAAAAGGAAATCTTGCTTTTTTTTCTCATTACATTTCTGTAACTCATTATTTCGTGCAAACAACTTTTCTCAAGCTCTTCCCATAGGACCAGGCACTATTCTAGGCAGTGGACATTTATGAAGGAGAATAGGCCTAGCCTGCATCATTGTGACTGAGCTAGGGAAAGTATTACATTGTTGTGCTTCATTTGTTTCTAGAACTGCACTCAGTCCGTTATGACTCTTTTGTATTTTACTTAACCCTCGTCACAGTTTACATTATCCTCACTTTACAGATGACAAAATGAGAACTATGTGACAGTTCACCTGGCTCGTCAGGGCCACCGCCATCTGGCTCGTCAGGGCCACTGCCATAAACAGCAGCCCGGTACTGTGACACCAGGTTCGACTCTCAGAAGCCGTGATGGAAAGCCTGGGTGTTAGTCCCAAGCATCAAGGAGCTCCCAGAGGTGAGAACAATGTGAATTCTCTGGAGTGTTCTTTTTGATGGCAGGCTTTGCCTTCTGGCTCAGTTGCTCATGCTACAGTCCCCTATTTAATGATTTAGTTTCTGTTGGATTTTTCTCATTAAAATCCCTAGGCAATTACCAAGAAACTAAGGGACCGGTCACAGCCAGGGGAGAAAGGCAAGAAGTGACTCAGCCCCACCTTCATAAAGTATGAGAAAAGCCCAACTTTATCTGGAGGAGGGAAAAAAAGGGGGGGGGGTGGTGCTTAAAAAAATCCACATCCCAGGTTCTACATGCAAAGTGGAAAGAGCTTAGGGCCCTAGGGTACTTTCTGCATCTAACTGTTTTGAACAGGTTGTTTTCCATTCTTGGTGCTTGGTTTTCTCATCGGTAAAATGGGCAGTTTGGCCCTGATGATTCTTAAGTTCATTTGCGCTCTAAAATCTCTGATTCATATAATCAGACTCATTCCCTGACCAGAACAGCCATGATCACTGTCTGAAAGACAACCCCTTCTTAATATGAGGCATATTTCTCAAAAGACCACAAATGAATGCATTCTATAAAGCCAGACAAAAGTTGTTGCCAGGAAAAGGTGGCTTGTTGAAGAAATCCTTGAGAGAAGTATCCTTTGACAATGGAGAGTGTCTTCAGGCATGATGGAAGGACATATCCGCTTCTAAATTATCCTAACAGATGGTGGCATAGTGTCCTGATTAAGTGTGTATTCTGGAGCCACTTAATAGCTCAGATGACTTTCGATAAATTAGTCATCCTGTTCCTGGCTTGGGCTTTCCATCTGCAAAGTATGTCAAATAGGACCTACCTCACTACAAAGATGGATTATCACAAAAAAATAAATGCAATAATGTCATGTAAGTCAATTAGTATGATGTCTACATGCAACAAATATTACGATTACTGTTCCTCATTAGACATCAGTGCACACTAGTGACTGAACTGCATTGCCTCTAATCCTGCAAGACTAGAAACTATGACTCCATTTTACAGAAGGGGACACTAAGGCGAAAATGGACAGAACTGGATCCAAGTCGCATAGCTAATGAGCGCCAGAACCAGGATTGCCTGCAGCCCGTCAGGTTCTTGCCATTCTGCCACACTTCTTATGTTTTCGAAGACTAGATATTAAAATCCCAGATCTATTTTAAATATTTGAAACTTCAACTACACAAATAACACTTTTTTTGGTCGTATGCCGTTGAAGATGCGGTATAAATTCTGCTTCTTGATTTGGGAGAATATGGGCAGCAGCCCCCCACCCCACCCCCAACAGGGACACGAGGCCTGTAGATGGAGCAGGTCTCCCCTCATGTACGCACCCACGTTGGACCTCTCAGGCACGTTGGCATGATAGGTCTCATGCAGGAACTCGGGCGGGTTGTCATTAATGTCCTGGACCTTGACGATGAACTCCGACGGTGGCTCCAGCGGCCGGTTGGTGTCCCTGTCCACCGCCTGTGCCATGAGCGTGTACTGGGCTCTCTCTTCCCGGTCCAATGTCTTGGTGGCATGAATGTTCCCTGATTTGTCATCAATCACAAAAATGGTTCCGGCTCCTTCACCTGAGAGAATGTATTTAATGTTCCCATCACCAGAGTCAATATCGGAATGAAGCTAGGAAAAGAGAAACCAAGATTTGTAATTCCATGAGGGATGCCGTGGGGAAACAAAGTCTCATTCATACACCGTTTGCCACAGCACGCTGTCCACCCACACCCACACAGACGCCCACACACACACATACACCATTGAGAGGGAGATGCTCTGCCCCCCTTTTACAAATGAAGAAATGGAATCTTAGAGAAGACAATTGCCTTGGCCAAAGTCACACCGCTGGGGGAGGTGAAGCCAGCATTCAGACCTGAATCCTGAGTTTTTTAAATTCTATGAGTCATACTTTCCCTCACAAATATACACACATACAAAATATACGCACATATTCACACGGGTATGCACACAAGCAAAATATATACACATATGCACATATATTAAGTTATTTTGAAAGAAACATAGATGACATAAAAATATAAAAAACAAACATTTATGCCATAAGTAAGTCTTCTCAGTTCTGATTCCCACCCCTTCAGTTTCTCTGCTCAGACACAACAGTTGTTACCAGTTTCCTGTGAATCTAAGATACGGTTTATGCATATGCTAGAATATCTGTACAGATACATAAATGCCCTCATTTGTTTTTATGCAATAAAGTGCCATAGTGCACAAATAGCACTCTGCACCTCTGTTTTCCTATAACAGTAAATTCAGGTGACCTTTCGGACTGCTACATCCACTGGATGCATGCTATCATCTCATTTTAGCTGTCTTCTTCCAAAGGACACTGAGGTTGTTTCTAGGCTTTCGTTACGATAAGCAATTCATCGATCAGACCTTTCCATAAGACACTCTGTGAGGCACATGAGGGTCTGGGGATGTGGCCTGTCAGGAAGAAGCTCTCATTCTGATCATAGGCATAAGGTGAGTAGGACGGGTTGATAAATATGAAGCTTCTTAGACTATTGAGAGAACCTTACATATGTTCAGGTTTTCCCCCTCCTTTGACAGAGCCCAGAGAAATATGACGGTACTTGCCTAACTCCACACTTCACAGGGCCAGAGCATCGTCCAGTTCTCCTGACTACCCATCCTGTGCCTGGACTCTGCTCTGTGTTTCATAACATGGGACTCACCCAAAGACCACGTCTGATTTTCCTGTAGCAATGAATTCCTTACCTTCCCTTGATGTCATCTCAATGTCTGAAGCTTTCATCTTAATTTAAGTACCTCTGCCCTCATTATGCCCTTTGTGAGAAGAGAGAAGCATTGCTTTTGCCATTCTTGTAGGTTTCAAGGCTAGCCAAGTGGCTAAAAAGCCCTTGGTTCTGCCTACTATGTGAGAAAACCCAGTATACACCAAAAAGCTTTATTCAAATGGCATTGATAATAATATTGATTGATTAGCAATGACATTTTCATACTGATATTATTAGTAATGTCATTTAAATATTATTGTTAACACCAATTTGATTATTGTTAGGAAACCAAAGCCTGGGGAGCTTGTTCAGAATCACAAAGCAAGATAGAACACAGTGCTTTTTAAAGATGTTTGTATTGGTTTCAGTTTCCCAGAAAGTATCTAATTGATTTGCAGCACCTCAGTGAAACACCAAATATTTCGGCTCAGGGGGTACCTATAGGTACAAATCAGGAAGACCATTTTGATTTTAGTTCACAGTGTTTCTCAGGAAAATTTGAAAAAATATACCTGTCTTCAGAACTTGTTATTCATAACAAGCTACGTGTTGTCATGAAATGATGGTTAATACATTTCTCATGAATAAGGCAGTTTGTGAGTAAAATATGAAGCTATTTTGTGGCTTCTAAAGGATGAAGAGAATTGCTCTGATCTTCATACAATTTCCACAGTGAGGGCGGGATCCCTGCCGCCATGCGGCTGGCTTTCTCCCCAACCCCCCAAACAGTTTGCATTTGTTCCTTTTCTCTGCCTGAGACCTGGCAAAAGTTAGGGGCTCAGTCTTGTGAATGAAAAACAAGGAAATAAATGCTTATTTTAATGGGAGTGGCTAGAAGGGAAGTTTCTCTGGGCTTTCATGAATTCCACGTGAGCTTGGCAAGTTTCTTATGAATTAAACAGATTCTAGTTCATGATCAACCAAATCACTGCAAAAGTGTAAACTTACAGCACTCCTTATCTTTCTCTACTTTGTTTTCGGATTTGAAAGTTAGATATAAATTCCTTCTTTTTCTCTCTCCCACAAAGATGACCTGTACAACTGACAACACTATTTATTAGGTTCTACACAAAAAGCAGTTTGGGAAACCATTCCTTCCTATCAGGGGACCCAGTTGCTGAGGCATACACAGCCAATTCCTAATGCCAAAGACTGCTGGCTTCCCCCTCTGCAGGGCACAGCACGACACAGACTGTGCTTCCTGCAAGAAATCTGAAAGTCCATCCCTTGCCAAATCCTACTTTTTCAGAGCATCATAAAGCACTCAACCTTGAATGCTGTCAAATCAAAGGTCATCTAGTCTATTCCCTCTATTCATGGGGAAATATATATATAGATATCAATATCTATATCTATATCATCTATATCTTTAATCTATATCATCTATATCTATATCTATCTATAGTTATATATATAGTTTTATATATATATATATTTGTGTGTGTATATATATATATATATATATATATATATATCTCCACATTATCTCAAAAGGAAGATCCATAGGATCCAGCCCCCCTTTTTTTTTTCTTCTTCCCCTCTCCAATCGGACATCTCACACTCAATCTCAGGTACCAGGATTTCAAAGCCCATTCACTGCTTCCTCTTCTCCATGTTTTGTCCTATGATCCCTTTTAGTGGGCTTGCCAACTGTTTGTTCCACAGAGATAAGGAAATGGCTCTCCAGGTCCTGTCTCTCCTACAATCTTCCACCCTAACGAACACACCATTCTCCACTGAGAAAGTCCTTAAGGCAAAGGTTCTATATTCTCAGAAAAATTTACGCACAGCTCTCCATGGTGTTCAAGCTGCACAGCCCCTGCCATGACTGAAGTCTTGTCTTCCTCTCTGGGCACAGAGCCCATCTCCTCACGTAGGGAATTCACATGCCAATCATTTCCCCGGGTTCCCATTTCCCAAGACTACTTCTATTTTGGGTATAATCTTTCCATTTTGGGGTATACATGAATGAAACTCCTTTGGTACATCTCTTTGAAAAGGCATTTCCCCAACCCTGAACATTACTCAGATGCTACTATGAACCTCTTCCAAATAAGTCAATTACATAAATATGGATTACCGCTCTCATGTTAAAGAACAACTGAAATAACTCAATGGAATATACAAGACTCAGAAATTAGCACCCTCCAGATCTATTCTTGTACTTTTCCCCCTTCACTGGATAACTCCTACTCATTCATCTCTCAGGTTACAAGTTATTATCATGTTCTTTATAAAACCTTCCTTCATCCCTCCCAAACATTACCAGGTAAAAGTATCATCACTTCTGTTGAATTTCTTCATTATTTTAGTTTTAGGTGGGGTTTTGTTTGTTTGTTTGTTTTTGTTTTTCGTTAGATAAGTTTGCCTTTCTACTAGCCTCTGAACCCTTTGAGGTCAGGGACTATTTTATGCTAGTCTACCGTTTGCTTAGCTCTTTCCCTGAGCATAGTAGGTGTTCATTCTTGTGTAGATGACCACTCATCTCCTTGTAGTTAATGTCACTCTCTTCTCTGAAAGATGGTTGCATGCTTTATCATAAATGATAATGGACAATAATTTTTTTAATGTATTGTGGACTTTCTACTCTTGCACTTTTTTGGAGGGGTTACACAGAGAATGCAGAGTCTGAGTACTGCTAGAACTCAATTCATCCAACTGGCTTTTGCCATCCCTAAGCTCAAGTGGATAAAATCTCATCCATTCTGAAGACACATCCATTTGTCTCATCAGATATTTACAAAGGCTTCCCCAAAACTAGGCTTAGTACCAGGACCTCGGGACACAGGACATTGGGCCAGTCCAGTGAGGGAGACTGATGAATAAATAAACATGTGTAATGCAAAAAGGCAAGCTTTCATAAAGAGTGGAGAAGGGCACCAGAGTTGGAGATAGGGTGTAGGCAGGGACATGTCTTCCTTTGGAGAATGGGCCAATAAATGATGGCTAATTAGTAGACTATTGTGCAGCTATTAAAAATGGAGTTCCATGGTATAACATTCAGTGGAAAATGTAAGTGTTCTTAACATGGATGACTATGAATTGAAAAATTAAAAAGTCTGAAAGGCTGTTTATTTTTTTTTTTAATGTTTAGTTTTGAGAGAGAGAGGACAGAGCATGAGCAAGGGAGGGACAGAGAGAGAGGAAGACACAGAATCCAAAGCAGGCTCCAGGCTCCGAGCTGTCAGCACAGAGCCCGACGTGGGGCTTGAATCCAGGAACAGTGAGATCATGACCTGAGCTGAAGTCGGATGTCCAACCGACATGGGGAGCCACCCAGGCTCCCCAAGAGGCAGGCTTCAGCTCAAACTTTATAAGCACATAGCAGGATAATATGGATCTCAAGCTTCGTGAACCGTAGGGATCATGACCCTGAGCTGAGATCTGGATGCTTAACCCACTGAGCTGCAGGGTGCCCTGAAACTGTTTTGTGATGATTTTATGGTTTTTACTGAGAAGCCATTAGTGTTTTCCCACCCTAATTTTCCTGCAGCCATACCCTACTATTGGAACTGTGGGAGAGACAAGCATGCCCCACAGCAGCAGCTGCCCACCCTGCTTGTACAGTCCCAGGCCAGGTCAGCCTCCTGATTACAGAAGAGCTGGTTTAGACCCAGCCTCTCTTGGGCTGCAGCACCTGCCCCTCTTGCTTTCTCATTGGTGCCCGTGGAGCCCAGTGTGATGGCTCCGTCCTTTCAGTGGTGAAAGGCCTGGCTGTAGCTGCTCAAGCCCGAGCACACCAGGAGCCATGAAACAATCAGTGCTCCTTCATTTTTGGTTATGGTAGGCACAGGAGAATCACGGCTGTCACCCTCACCAACCCTGTGGCTGACCTGTGATGGTGGCCTCCCAGGCGTGTCAGCAGACCTCTCTCGAGATGGAATGTCTGCTGGCTGAGCATCACAGTCAGGGCTGCCCACTTCCCCAATCGGCTTCTGCGGGCAGAGAGAAAGGTCAGATTAGCTGGAGCTCCACATCCCCAATTCATTTCAATCCCCATCCAGCAGCTGGACCACAGGAATTCCTTCTGGGTATTGAGGGGGGGCAGGCTGAGAGCAAGAAATGACTCTCTCTTGCAGCTTGTCACATGGTGGGATAAACACACGAGAAATCCCTCAAAGTGCTTTATGAGGATGAACATTGCTGTGGTCCAGCTGCCAGGTCCTCGGTGGCAGTTTGCCACCTACAAACCAGCTCAGGTTTGGGGTAAGCCGAAAGCTCTTGACTCTGCTTACTCATTTGTAAATGGGATGCTAATGTTAACTCACTGCAAAGGTTGACTTGCAGGGGATTAAATGACTAGTGCCTCTAAATCCCTTATACGATGTCACAGTACAAAGCAAGCATTCCATATTTATTATTGTGTGATCACAGTTGCATGGGAGTATGTTTCATAATGGGAAACTTGGGGCATTATGGGAGTCCAGGAGAGGAACATCTAATCCAT